TGAAAATCGAGGAGGTATTCACTGAAATTGAAAAATTCGAAATTTTCAAAAAAGTATCAGGGGAGCATGAAAATGGAGGAGGTATTCACTGAAATATGAAAATGCGAAATTTTTGAAAAAGTATCAGGAGAGCATGACAATTGAGGAGGTATTCACTGAAATCGAAAACTTCAAAATTTTCTAAAAAGTAGCAGAGGAGCATGAAAATCGAAGAGGTATTCACTGAAATTTGAAAATGAAAAATTTCAATTTTAGTTAATACCTGCTCGATTTTCATGCTCCCCCGATGGTTTTTCAAAAATTTCGAATTTTCACATTTCAGTGAATACCAATTTCGTAAAGCAGAAAATAACATTCACCCCATCGATTGGTCCCTCTGACAGCAAGACCGCTAATGAGGCAGTTACCGAGTCGGCTGACGAGTAGACACCCCACCATTGGGTGCGGCCCCCACTTTTTCTTGGGGTGAGGTACTACAATGCCGGTGAGCCGCTCAGTGAGGGTTTGAGTGCCCCCACCGGCATTGTAGTACCTCACCCCAAGAAAAAGTGGGGGCCGCACCCAATGGTGGGGTGTCTACCCGTCAGCCGACTCGGTAACTGCCTCAGTTGCAGTCTCGCTGTCAGAGGGACCAGTCGATGTGGTGAATGTTATTTTCTGCGTTTGAAATTGAAAATTTTATGGAGTCACTTAAATTTTTTTTAAGTGACTCCATAAAATTTTAAAATTTCAGTGAATACCAATTTCGTAACGCAGAAAATAACATTCACCCTGTCGATTAGTCCCTCTGACAGCGGGACTGCTATTGAGGCAGTTACCGAGTCGGCTAACGGGCAGACATCGCAGCATTGCGTGTGGCGCCCTCCCTCTCTTGGGGTGCAGTACTACGATGTCGCTGGGGTCACTCAAATCCCCAGAACTGAGCCTCTACTTTAGTCAATCCTCTGTGGGGGGGGGGGGCCTTATGGTCACTGCCCCCGCGGCCATTTTTTCTCCTCCGTAATCCCAGCATAGTTGTCTCCTCGACCGACCGGAATCGCTACCCTGACGCTCCCCAAAACGTGCGTGAGAAAATTTCCAAAATTGGAAAAAAAATCACAACCCTCAGAAGCGCGTTATCACGACTCATAGAAAAAGTAATCGTCGGCACGGTCGCATCATCCCCGACACTCCGGGGATATTCCATCCCGTTATACTAGACCGTGGGGTTGTGACGCCAGTACTGCGCCAACTCCACTTCAGTGTCCATTCTCGTCTCAATGATAATTTACCTCTTGAAAATCACATTTATCCGGTGATTTTTTTTCACACCAAAAACCCCTCGGGAATTCGAATAACGTGTCTCAGTGATTAAAGGTATTTCGTTGAGGTTTAAATATTGTGTAATTACATCGGTTATTGGATATTAGTTGAGATATTAACTCCTGGGGCCATCGGCGTCGCAGCCCAGGGCATACGAGTCAAACAAAAGGAACATTTTCACGGATATCCCCTTTTTTCAGTTATAGTACAATCGTCGTATTTTTTTTCTCACCGATAATTACACCTGGGTGTTTAATGTTTTATTAAAAAATGAGTGATTACTCAGCGGTAGCTCCGCCACAAAATTTCAGCCAGAGCTCGGCTTTTGCCGCGGCTCTACAGCGTGCCAAACAGGTATGTTAATTGTTTCGTGGATGTATCTCAAATTTTCATCGACATTTTAATGCACACTTTGTTTTATCATGTTTTTTCCTCATTGTTTAATGATTTTGGTATTTTTTTTTATTTGGTTACATCTTTTTGGATTATTTGCTGGATATATTTGGAGCAATTTTTGGGGGTTTCGAGACGGGAATGAGAGATTTTTCGATCGGCGATAGCAAGGGGTTGGGTGGGTGGAATTTCCCCAATTTGGCGCCATTTTGAGGGATTTTTTACCATTTTTTTTAATGCAAAATTATTTTTATTTGCATTACGGAGAAAATGTTTTGGTAATGATTCAGTAATACTGATGGAGGCGGTTTCTTAGTATGAATATTTTGCGAATGGCTGAGGGGAATTTTGAAAATCTAGAGTAGTTTTGGACGGTTTCTTGGGTTCTTCAGGGTGAGATCTGAATTTTTGAAATTGTTCTGGTGAGTCCAGATTTATTTACTTGTTGACAATAAAATGGTCGAATTTTAATTGAGAATATCTCCGGAATGGCTGAGTGACGTTAAAAAAAAATGGCGCCATTTTTGAGGTATTTTAATGGACTTTCTATTGAGGACGAATTCAGCGAAATCGGGTCGTTGGGTCTGCAGGTATCGATAATCAAATGAATTGTCTCTCGTTCTCGCTCTCCTGATAATTAGGTAAACTGAGGTTTGATGTGAGGTTTACAAGCGTTTTAGACTCTAGGTGAAAGCGTGCAGAACGATTGATTGATTGATTGACTGATTACTTGTTTATGAACTGTGATGGTAATTTTATGGGATATTTTGATGAAATTGTTGTAGTCAATCCTGAATGGGAGTTTTTCATAATTTTTTTCGAGTTTATTTTAGAGATGTTTTTGGTTTTGTGAACGATGATTTTTCGCAGATTGCAGCTAAAATAAATCCAGGGGGTACACAGAGTTCGGAGGGCAAACTAAAGCGGTCACTTGAGGATGGCCCAGGTATGATTCACGATGGTAAAAATAATTAATGATTTTTATTTGGAATTTGATGAATTCGAGGTGTTTACGGAGGAAATAGTCAATTTATGCGATTATCTCGGTAACGAAGGGACTTAGGAAAAAATGTTGCTGCACATTTTGTGTGGGGAATTGAATTTCCTGCAAAAAGTGTATGTGTTATTTTCTTGTGAGTTCAATAGTTATCGGGAAATTCGCAAGATTGTATCGATAAAAAATTACTGAAATCCTGTGGAATTGAGGGAAGTCGAACGTTGGAATGTTGAGTTTATCTTTCCAATTTTAGTAGAACCTGAGGCCAAGAAATTAGCACCCGATCCTCTAATGAACCTTCGTGCACCATCAATGGGAGATCCAAGCAGTGGACGATCAAGTTCTCTGGCTTCGTCACCGCCTCATGGAGTCAGTGGTATGGGTGGTATCTGCAATGAAGATATTCGAGTCCCTGATAAAATGGTTGGATTGAGTGAGTAAATGATGAATGCATCCCCTAAAAACAAAAATTTAGACTATCCTAAAATGACTGAATTGTCTTCAAAATTTAATATATCCTACCTATGAATTTCCACAAACAGATTCAGTACAGAAGTGGAACGATATCACACTTCACTCACTAATCGCTCAATTATCTCGGTACCCAATGGTTTCGCGAGAAAATTCTATGGACACTTTTTGTAGGGAATTTAATTCTCCACAAAAAATGTCCTCTTACATTTCCTGATAAACCCAGTAGATCCAAAGATATTGACGACCTAAGCTACACCAGAGAATTGGAAAACCCTCCCCTGAAATTTGATAAAAAATGGAACAGTCTTTCGTGAAATTTTCCGTAACTATCGGGTTTACGGAAAAATGCCTGAGGACTTTTTTGTGGGAAATAGAATTTTCTACAAAAAATGTCGTTTGACATTTTCAGCTAAATCCACTGGTTTCTGAGATATTTACATTAATATGCTCAACCACTTCCTACTGAACTGGCCGTTGATGGTTTTATCGTTGTTTTCATCATTAACAAGCTTTAATTTGATTTTATTATATATAAAAAAACAACAATTTGTTTCGTTGAACTCTCCACAGTGGTCAACACAACATCTGTTGCTACTCAGATCCCACGATCTATCGTAATTGAAGTTATCCAAACGAAAAGTCCCCAATCGAAAACAAATCAATGTATCTTCAATCATTAATCCATTATTATTTTTACAGTAATTGGAAGGGGCGGCGAACAAATAACGAGATTGCAAAGTGAAACAGGATGTAAAATACAAATGGCGCCCGAAAGTGGCGGTCTACCGGACCGTGTTTGCACTCTAACTGGTTCACGAGAGGCTGTCAAGTAACTTGTTTTCCCTTCTTATTTCAAACAATAATTCTCCTTTATTTCAATTATATTTTATGCAATGCAATCCCCATACATATGACAATACTCCGCATGAGAGATTATGAAGACATATCTTCGTTGAAAGGATTTTTATGAAATTGAGAAAGTTAATGTGATGTTTTGTATGGAGGTGGTGGAGAAAATACCGAAATATCTCGAAAACCGATGGCTTCAGGGGATAATGTTACATGACAGCTTTTGTAGAGGAGACAATTACCCACAAAAAACATATCTGTCATTTTTTAATACGCCTACTCGTTGCTCAGATAATGCCATTATCCAATCGAAATTAATTAATCAAATTCTCAAAAAATCACACTACATCTTATTTCATGAATATATAATATAAAATATATTCTAAAATATATTGCAAAGTATATTCGCGAAGTAAGCAACAAAAGGGACTTATTTGTTCGTGAGCGGATAAGCCGGTTATTTAGAGATAATTTATTAATTATTTCGATGGGCCAATTCATTTTCACTTCGAAAATTAATACGGTGCACTTTATTCTGAAATTATCTCCGCAATTACTCTAGATATCGAAAAATGACAAATAAACTTTTCTGTAGATCTTGAAATTTCCCAAAATAAATGCAAGTGACATTTTTCTCTAAACCGAGAATTGTTCGAGATATCTTCACCAAAAAATTTCTCCATCCCTTCACCATGGAATTCGTATCCTGAAGATTCTTATCACCTGCATTATCTGTGACGTCGTAGGAACCCGACCAATTCGATCATCATCTCGCCATAATAAATGTAGCCATCATCACGCAATGAATACTCCACCTGCATAAATACCAAACGTGAAACTCAAAAGAAATAACCAAAAAATTTTTTTTAAATAAATAAAAAATCAAGAGCAGATGGGAAAAATTGATGAAATTTTATTCCAGAGAATTAGATAACCTGGATGACCGGAAAAACAGATAAAAATCACCGATAAATGTGTTCACCAGATAATTATCCGAGAATATGCATAAACAATAATTCATTGATTTATAAATTGTTTAAATAACTCATAATCATTCTGTTTTGCTCTTTCATTTGTTCTGTTCACCTTTTCGTTAATTTATCCGACAATTATCGCATTGATTGATTTGTTTGAATTAATAACTAAACTAATAGTTTTTTACTTTCACTAGGGAATGAGGAGTATGAAAGATGGTAATGGAAGGTGGAAAGGAGTTGATAGAATTATGCATGGGGGCGTATTGTTATCGACAAGATGATTTTTTAAAGAAAATATGTACTAGCTTAGAATTGCTTCTAAATCCACATCAATCGTATTATTTTTCAAACTTCATGGACAATTTAATATAAATATATCCTGTTGGATTGATCGATATAATGATGTATTACCATGTGATTGTGCTTTAATTGCGAAATAATTATTTGAAAGAATAGTTACATATGTGTCGTACCATTTGCCTACTTCTAGTGCTTCAGATAATTTTTTTTTCTTTCAATCTTTTTGTTACGATCGATTTTATTTATCGATTTAATTCGGTGGGTTTATGGGTTTTTTATTGTCTGTGTTGCAGTAGGGCGAAGGATCTGGTGCTATCAATCGTCAATCAGAGGTGCAGGGCTGAGGGAATTGGAGATATGAACATTGGGGGAAATTCCAGTGGCAGCTCTGGTGGTGGAGGTGGAGGTGGTGGCGGAGGAGGAGGAGGAGGAGGTGGTGGTGGAGCTGGAGCTGGGGCTGGTGGATCCATGATGAGTGGACATCCTGGATCAGTTGAGATCATGATTCCTGGCCCCAAGGTTGGACTCATCATTGGAAAGGGCGGGGAGACTATCAAGCAGCTCCAGGAAAAATCTGGAGCCAAAATGGTGGTCATTCAGGATGGACCTTCTCAAGAGCAGGAAAAACCACTCAGGTTCGTTGAGTTTAGGAAACCTTTTGGGAGATTTGTGAATGGAATTTTATGAGAACTAATTCAATCATTGAAAATATTTCACAGAATAACTGGCGACCCCTCGAAAGTGGAATATGCGAAGCAATTGGTTTACGAGTTGATAGCGGAGAAGGAGATGCAGATGTTCAGAGGTCCCAGAGGTGGTGGTGGCCCTCCAGGCTCCAATGATCGTTCTGGAAGTTTTTCCAGTGACAATGGATACAACCATCCCTCGTCAAATGCCGATGGAGTTGAGGTTCTCGTTCCTCGAGCAGCTGTTGGTGTTGTTATCGGAAAAGGTGGTGACATGATTAAGAAAATTCAATCCGAAACTGGGGCACGAGTGCAGTTTCAACAGGGACGTGAGGATGGGCCTGGGGACAGGAAGTGTCTGCTCTCTGGAAAACCTCAGGCAGTTGAACAAGCTCGCCAGAGGATCCAAGAGCTCATCGACAGTGTAAATGTTAATTTCCCCTTTTTTATTTATTTTTATAAATCAGTAGATAAAGGGAACTCTTGTTGACTGGATCATTGAATTTTTCCAGAGGAGAGACGACAGAAATCCACAGGGACCCAGAGGACCCAGGGGCAATGGCTTCGGCGGTGGACGTCCCAATGAATATGGAGGATGGGACAGGCGTCAAGGGGGTGGGGGACCTCCTGGTGCTGGAGGTGGACCCATGAATGATAAAATCGAAACTACGTACAATGTACCTTCTACCAAATGTGGAATCATCATTGGAAAAGGTATTTTAAAATTTTAAATCCTTTCAATCACCTAGTAAGATCATTAACTCAGATTTCATTCATTAAATCGAATTTAAATGAATATACCAAAATTTTCCTCATGACCTCTTTTGTAGAGTAGATTCAGATCTGCAAAAAATCTCCCACAGAAATTTTGCTATCTTTAGTAGATTCCGAGATACTTGTCGAAAACTCATGTCTGTTTCTTGCTGCTTCGATCTAGAATTTATAATTTTTAATTTTTTTATATTCAATAATCGATAATAACAATTACTGATTGATCACCAGGTGGAGAAACAATAAAACAAATAAATCAGCAAACGGGTGCCCATTGTGAGTTGGATCGGCGAAATCAGGGGAACGAAAACGAGAAGATTTTCATAATTCGTGGCACTCCAGAGCAGGTGGAGCACGCAAAGAGAATATTCAGTGAAAAATTGGGAATGGGACCTGGTGGTACGCCTTACGGTGGTGGACAGGGGGCAATTGGTTACAATCCAAGTTGGAATGCAGGTGGTGGATATCAGACGTGGCCTGGTGCTGGCCAGGGACAACCCAATGATGCCAACAGTGCAGTACAACCTGTTCAGGTTAATCCACAGACCGGGCAGCCTGATTACAGTGCCCAGTGGGCTGAGTACTATCGATCACTGGGTATGCACAGAGAGGCTGAGATGATTGAGCAGCAATCGAAGCAGGCTAAACCTGATCAACAGCAGCCAACACCACCAGGTGCACCAGCCGGTGCCACTGGACAGCCACAGCAGCAGCCACAGGCTAATCCACAGCAGCAGGTCAATCCTGCCCAGAATGGAGGACAGCAGCAGGCGGATTACAGTGCACAGTGGGCTGAGTACTACAGAAGCATGGGAAAAATTAAGGAAGCTGAGGCCATTGAGGCACAGATGAAAGCTGGAAAGGTAATTTATTCCATCATTTTATTTTATTCGTTAAATTTATACATATCCGGAAATTCTTATTTATACTCATTTTTAGTTCCTGCACATTCGAATCGATGGAGTATTTAATTTATTTAATACGAATTTAAATTAATCAGATGAATAATATAAATAATTGAGGCACAGAATTAAACTTAAATTTAAATCGTCAGGAATTTAAACTGGCTGTTCTACTATTTCGTTGATAATTGATTAATTCATCAGTTATTGATGAATCTAAAATGTCGTGAATCTAAAAATCTATCTAGATTCAGAGATATGCCCCCAAAAACTCGAGCGAAAAAAAACATAAATCGACAAATCGTATGATTGGTTAAATTATAATTAAATTAAAACGAAATGATTGATTTGAATTGCAGTTGGGTGCGGCGAATAATCAGATGGCTCAACCCCAGATGCAGCAGCAGCAGGCAATGCCAGCACAACCAGCGAATCCTCAAGCAGGAGCACCAAATGCATTTCCCCATGCCTATGGGGCATATCCAGGTATGAATGCAGGCTCAACACCAGCTGCCTATTATGCTGGTGGTGGTGGTGCTGCAGCACCTCAGCAACAACCTGGCCAGCAGAATCCAGCATTCGCTGGTGGATATCAGAATTATCCATATTCACAGCCCAACTCCGACAACTAATGTCTCCACCTGGTTTATCAACAGTGATTACTATGTGAGTATCTCTTTCTCATTAAATTACTGAAAATCATGAGACATTGTGTGAATTATCCCCCACTTATTCCAATTTATAATCAATCGAAGAAATTATTTCAATTATTTCCACCCACAGATATTTCCCCATTCGTCCCAATTTACACAATTCCTCATGATTAATTTACAAAACATTTTAAATTGTGTTAAATTTAAAAATTGTGAAACTCGTATTCTCTCTCTCTCCCACAATTTAAATACATGGAATTGAATATTTAATTATTGAAAAATAATGATTAATGGGGTAACAATAATCTCCCATGCATAATCTCAAATATGTAATCTGTAAAATGTTTTTGTGATTTCATTGATATTTTCAGGTTTTCACATTTGAAAATTCAACAAAATTACCAAAATGCTATCCCAAAAGTATATAATTACACCTCTCAATGTTTCCAATTTAATGAGCAATAATTAATAATTAATAAAAAAAAATACGACAAAGGTGATAAATGTTAATGTACAGTAATGCATTATTTCCAACAGTTTTTTCAGATAGCTTTCCATTGGGACGCGGTTAAATGCCAGCTGTTGTCTTCATAATAGTCCTAACGTTAAAAATAATCATTAAAAACGATAAATAGAACCTACAGAATGATTTAAAGAAATCAGAATGACCACAGATGCTTTGATTAGAGGAATGAGCCACCAAGCTTTCAAAAAAAATATTATTTAACTTCAGAGATAAAAAAAGAGAGAGACGATATCAATCGAAATGACACGTTAATTTATTACGATTACAATGTCCTCCGCTCTTTCTTCTCTTTTTTTTTTTATAAATCGTGTATATATGTATCCAGCTACATATATGCCTGTAGGATATCCATTGTCTACTCTAAGGTTCATATATTCAAAACTACGAATGATAAAACTTATGAAATTATTGAGAAAACAATATCGGAATAGTATTATGTATGAGGATACCATCATTATGTCCATGTTTTCCATTAAACTCTGACATTTCTTCTTATGCATATGATTATTAAAGTAATTAACACGAGGGGAAACGAGAGATGTATCATATCTGCTGAGGGGTGGGAGGGGCTGAGGGGAATTTTCGTCAGGATTTTTTCTGGGGAATTTCGCACGTTGAGAGATTATTCTCGATATCTCCGTGAATCTGGTTGGTTTAAAGATATTAGTGTTTTCGTAACTAAATTGTTTTTGTTGTCTTGTGGGAAAATTGACGGAATTTATTGATTAATTAAATTATTTTGGTAATTGGAATTGCAAATTGAAAAAAAAATGAGAATGCGATTGGTTTTTTACGAATATCTTTAGAACCGTGGGTTTTATGGAAAGAAGTCAAGAGACTTTTTTTTTAGGTAATGAAATTTAACATGAAAAAGTCCTGTGGCATTTTCCTCTGGCCCCATTCAGTACCGAGGTATCGAGCCTGTCACACTATCCCCGATAAAATGGTTAAGGTAAGGTCCCTCAGGTGGTGGCAGTGGATCGAAGTCTCTTCACGTCTGCTGTGGCTTCCAATATCTCATAATTACGTTTATTTACACCATGTATCCATTAAACTGTCGAAATTTATTTTACACATGTATCCAAAATAGTAAAAGAATGATGTGAAAAAAAACTTATAAAATGATTACGATAAATCTTCGCATATCGTCATGCAACATGTCAATTCAGGTCCAATCATTTGTAATTTCATTAACCAGTCCCACGTTCTAGGCTCCAGTGCAGCTGTATCCATTAAAAAATCAACGGAAATTTTGTAGATTATTTTTTCTTCATTTCTCGTTTTACTGAATTCAATCGATTTATTGTGGAATTTGTGATTGTCATTGGCATATTCTTTATTTTCTGAATGAAATTCATCTCAGGGATGTAGCTGCTGCTCTCCAGGAGGTGAACTCGCCTGAATTCTGGATGTTTTTTTTTTCATTTTACATTGTAAACTGTTAATTTTTCTGGTTGAAATGATGTCTGGGGGATTATTTTTGAAAATGTCTTTTACCAAAAACGGTTTCATCCTGTGAAACTCAATTTTTTTATTAGTGAGTGACGTCACTCGTTAATGAGGTAATTCAACGATTAAAATAACAGTCGATGAGCCCGAGATTAATGTACAGATTTTGTCAATTTTGTGGAAATTGTTCTGTGCCGTTTTATAAAGGGTTTCATTTTAATTCGACTATTGAATTTTAAGTCGAAAATACATGTTTAGGGAATATTTTTCGAATATCTGTGGATTCAGAGGGAAAGTCTGGATGTGAAAAATGATTTTTCACCTGAATTCCGTACGAAGAAAATTAATACAAAAATCTAGTCGACTTGAATTTAGATTTCTATTCAATTTGTATTGAACTTTTATTGGACTTTGAAATTTATCTGCACGATCAATAGAACTCGATTTATTTATATAAGTCTAATTTCCTCATTTTTTCCTTGATTTTATTGATAAACAACAGAATAAAACTGCAAAACAAGAAAAATCGGTTCAGCGAACAGTTTTCGAGGAATATCTCTGAATCCCAAGGAGATAGCGGCATTTTTGTTATGACCTTTTTTAAAGCACTCATATTACTCCAAAAAAAAGGTCTTGAAGAAAATCTCGGTATCTCTGTTCGATTTCAAGATATTTCTAAAAAATTCGACTAGAGAATTCCCTTAAAGAAAAATCAATACAAATACAATAGAATTGTCCAGTAAATTCGATAGATTTTTCAATTAAATTTATTCGCGTGTAATATCCTAGTCCTTCAGATATTCCCTAACAATTTGAGGGATGAAAATGTTCGTGGAATTGTTAATAATTAAATAACCAATGAAACGAAGATATTAATCAACACCTGGACCCATCAGGAGGACTAATCGCTAATCAATGAATAATGGTAAATAACGATGAATACCGAACAGAGAAAACTTGTTTTTTGCTACGAGTGTTGCCTATGTCTGGTTTTTTCTTTAGGTTTTTTCATGCTAAATAGATGAACAATCGCCTTGTACGCGAAATTTCCAAAATAATAACTGATAGTACCTATTATTTATCCACCCAATCAATATTTACTTTCCATTTCAATATAAGTTAATATTATTTCTCACTAGATTACTTAATTATCGTAAATTTTTTATTGATAATTGTACCACACAGTAATTAGTTGACTAATTAACCTGGAATAATCGTTTAAAATGACTTTAGCACTCTTTTTAGAACTGAGTACGCACCATTTTTTCATTGCTATTTGTTACACTACTTTTTTTGTTTACTGTCTCCCTCGTTGAAATTTTGATCGTTGTACTCTTATTGATTTATTTGTGATAGCTGTTGTTAAAAAATTAAAATTCATCTGTCGTTTCAGGACGGATGCTGGAGCACGTGTTTGCGGATGAGGTAAAGGGTGAATGAATTTTATTTTATTTCTGTAAATACCTGTTTGAAGTTTTTTTTTTAATGAAAATCCTGAGACATCTTTTTGTTTTTTTTTCTACTCGAAGATTTGATTTTTTTTTTAATGAAAAAAAAATAGATAAATGAGAAAAAAAAGATGAATTGTGGGAGATGGGAATCGAGTTATCAACATTACTCCATTTTGTTCCCTGGAAAGAGTGTTTTTTTTTCATTTAATTATTTCTCGAAGATATTGAAAACAATGGGATTACAGTACTCAGTACAATTTATTAACGTCACCGACAAGAATAATAATAATAAAACAATAGGTTTTATACTGTTGCTACTATCACATTTTCAACTCTTTGGAGACAATCACACATACCAAAACCACTCGACTCTGGACATGTTACATAGCAAATGTATATGTTTTATCCTGAATTATAATGAGCATACATCAAACACAATAAATCATTTTTTCGTAATTAACTATCGATCAATATTGAGTGTTTGAGATTAAAAGTGGAATCTGTTGAAAGGGAGAGTGGAGTAAAACATTCGAAGGTTTATATCTCAGGACTGGCTGAGTAAAATTCCACTTGTTTCCATCCATTTTAAAGGTATTTTTCTCCTCTTCAAGATGAGTCCAAACTCATCGAAATCGCATCATTTCCCGAGAACATATAAAGGGCTGAATAAACCTCCCTTACTTTAAAGACCCACTCCTTTTACATCTTCGATGTAGCACGATTGACATTTTTTAATAATTATTATCTGGCTCAATTAAACCACTGCAGACCGTTCCCCTTCGTGCCCCTAATTACCCCCGTGTAATTAAGTATACAGTACTGAATTTATTTGCGAAGAGGAAAAAAGAATGAGGTAATTCATTCCCTAGCCGAGTTTTTCGGGGATATCTCGAATTCTAAAAGAGATAGCGAAATTTTTCTCACGTCCTTTTTTATGGAGCAGAATAAGTGATACAAAACAGGTCATGAGATGAATTTCCCTATCTGTGTTTCCTGCTGAGATATTCTCCTAAAACCGACGTCTTGCTGAAATCTACTTGTTACCCCTGACCCCTTTATTTCTGAATGAATTCTTTCATCGAGAAAAAAAATCGATTCACTCGAATTCGTGTGCGTATTTGCACTTAAAATAAATCCCTGAAACTTGTTAACGACTTAGTCAACAATTTTAGCAAATTCATCTAGTTTAATTGATTAATTTATCCTGAATAACGTCAAAGTTGAATTCTGGCAAAATGCTTAACTGCGATAATAATCCCCACCAAATAATGCAAAAGCAAGTGCAATAACAATCTGGGCACTTCAGCAATTGGATTTTAAAAAATGAAACAAATAAATAGGTCAATGATTTCCTCGGTAAATATCGAGGGAATTCCTACTAGTTTTAATTAAGCTAATGCCTACGACGGTGGTCCGTACATCGGATTCAATTGTTGGGTGCATCTTATGAATGTGGCACGTCTCGGTAATTCCCGTAATCTAGATGCACCGACGTAGGTGCAGGCGGATCTCAATCCTCCGAGGAGATCCAGAACAGTCTTTTCGACTTCTCCCCTGTAAGGCACCTCCACAGTCTTTCCCTCTGACGATCTGAAGAAAAAATATCGAAACGTCATTATAGATTTCTGAGAACAACCCAAAACCCACTAATTTCACAGAAAAATGCCATCCGACTTTTCTGTAGAGAAAAGAATTCCCCGCAAAATCTGTCTTTTCACTTTTTCTCGTAAATCCCATCAATACCGAGCTAATTACGTTTTCAGGTTGGAGTTAAAAGTTGGAAAGCTCGACAGAAAAAATTTTGACTCTTAATTTTGCAATTATCTCGGTAATTAGTGGAATAAGGGGAAAATGTCAGAGGACTTTTTTATAGTCCATAAAATTCTCGACAAAAAAGTTTCTGGGGTATTATTCGTCTATAATAGCCGTTGGCGAGGCACTTCCCTGTGAAGTTTGAGAGACTATTTAATTATTGAGTAATTTTCATTAAATCTCTATTGTTTAAGGTATGACGTGCTGACGCACGAGTTTTATTACTCGATTTGCATACCTGTACTCAGCCACTCCACCGACGTGCTTCTCCATGGCTGTGCTCGATGACATTCCGTAGAATAATTTCACTTTCTTTCCATTTTTTTCGATAACTTCTCCACTGCACTCGTCGTGCCCAGCAAAAATACCTCCAGCCATCACGAAATCTGCACCAGCGCCGAAGGCTTTGGCAAGGTCTCCAGGGCACGAACATCCCCCATCCTAATTCCCAAAATTTCACACACTTCATAAACAATTCGATAAACTATTGCTATAGCCCTGAAGTGAAACGACAAATTAACGACATGAAATTAATTCATTAATTCATACAATTTAAAGATTAAATTCTTAAATTCATAACTCATCAATTTTTCTATTCCCCTATCATTAATTATTCATTAACCATTTATTTATTTGTTTTTACTGTCAATTCACCATTTATCGATTAAAAATGTTTTTATCTAATTACCAAAAGTAGAATATTTCCGAATCTAAGAGAAATATCAAAAGGTTTGTAGGACCTTTTCTGTAGTACTCAATCCACTCTACAAAAAAGGTAATTACAAAAATGAGGGTATCTCCGTTAGGTTCAGAGATAATTCCTGAAGAATCGGCTATTTTCTAGCTCCAGTTGGAAAAATGACAATTTAAGGAGATAAAAGTTAATTACCGAAATGATGTGGCCCTTTAATCCATGCGCAGCATCAGCGCATTCAATAACTGCTGACAATTGTGGATATCCAACCCCAGTTTTCATTCTCGTGGTACAAACCGATCCAGGGCCAATGCCAACTTTGATAATATCAGCACCAGAGAGAATCAATTCCTCCACCATTTCTCCAGTCACGACATTTCCAGCCTTGGAACGAAATATTTTCGTTATCAGTTGGGGTTTCACTGATATGCAGTGAAAAACGATTTCATTAATGATTGAAACATGACGATACGCTGATTATGAAATCAAACACTAATGGAATGAATTACTCGAATTTTTTTTCTTTTTAATTTTCAGTGCTCCATTTGATTTTTCATTCTCCTTTTGCTGATAATGGGGAGAATGAGAATGCCACGCGCATATCATTCGGATAATTATTCTGATTGTGTTATCTGAGGGGTTGACCATTGCAACTTGTAATTGAGCTCACGACCTCAGAATAATTAAGATTTTAAGAGAAACTAGAAACGATCTCTGGAGATCTTGAATGAAGGCATTCATGAATGAAAGGAATCTATTATTCATCTGAGACATAATAAAAGGTAATTTATACATAAATGTAATGTACATGTATAATTCATTAGTGTCTGATAGTTTTTTTTTTAATTGAAGTTCATGGTATTTTTATGCTGAGATAATTAATTGAAACTTTCTTGGGAAAAAATAGAACTTTGTTTGATTTTTCACGAGTAGAGTTTCAAATGAAACGAAAGTTTTGTCGATAATTTTCTACAGATAAAGGACAATCGATAAAGCATTCTAGTGTAATGAAACGTGAGTATTTAATTAAATCTCTAATTTTTTTAATAACGATTGCGAAGGTCGAAATCTTTTTGTTACAAGTCATGTCTTTGTGCAGTTGATGAATATATTTACTTTATTTTAAAATTGCTGCACGACTCAGCCAAATTTCCTCATTTAATCTTCGGGTTTTTTCCGCCAATAAATTTTGTGTTAACGTGGGAAATCCCAAGATTTCTCAATGCCAATTCACGTAGGAAAAGTTCGATAGGAAAAACTAATGAATTTGTTAGAGAATTCAATTCTTTCACACAATTTATTCTATATAAAAAAAACTTGAAAAATCATTCTGAAGAAATCAGATGGAAAATAATTAATCAGCTAAAATTAACCGTGATTTCTAATTAATTAATAATTTTTTATAACTTACATCATAAGTTACATAAAAAAATTGAATTCTAACGACTTTTCGGCCATCAAACAAGTTTGATTGATGCCACAAAATAAAAATGGATAAAATAGTATAATAAATAGTAATAAAAATAAATAAATACAGATAATGGATTATGCACTCACAATAATTGTGTGATCAGGAAATTGTCCCCTGACTTTTCTTACGAATTCAACGAAGTGTTGTGAGTAACCATTGGCGACATCGAGACAGATAAAACTGATTTCAGGAACAGCATTAACCACCGATAGGAGTCGTTCAAAGTCCCCAGCACTAGTTCCCGAGGTGGCAGCAACATTTCCAAGACAATCTGGATTTTCCTTAGCGAATTCCTTCCACTCCTCAGCCGAATAGTATTTGTGTACAGTTGTGAAAAGTCCGTGCTGGAGAATAAAAATTTGATGAAAATTATGAGGCAAATGCTCCGTCTCAGAGCCTTGGGGATAATTAACCAGTTGTGAGGACTGCATACCTTGGATAATGCCCTGGCCATTTCGAAGGTCCCAACAGTGTCCATATTCGATGCCATCACTGGAATTCCTTTGTACGTTCGTTTTGAATTACGAAACGTTATTTCACGGAATAAATCCACCTGCAACAGTCCAGGGTTTTTCGATAACATTTCGCTTTAAAAATTCCATTTACGACAATTTCTTGCAAAGCTCCAGGAAATTTCTTTAAAAATCCCAAATTCTTTCTAAAATGATATTTTCATTTGTTTTTCTGGGGATTTTAATTCATTTTTCTCCTGAAAATATCATTGACTTTTGGATAAATATCCATGTTCCGCTTGAATAATTGAGGAATTCCTCTTTTTCGCTGTGAAGAGATGAAGAGATAAAAGAGGAAACCAAAAATTGATGCACCGAAAAATGAGAGGAACGTGTCGTGCATTGACGAAAAAAAAATTCCATCGAGGGAAAAATATAGAAATTGAGGTCTGACAATGCGAAAAAAAAAACAGAGAGCCTCGAATAAATTCTGAGAGGAATGATTCGACTCTTTAATTGACAGAATCGAACTCCAATCGCGTGTTCTGAGCTCTGAAGCTTTGAAATCGAAAAAAAGGCTCGACTGTCGTCCGAGAATAAAATTATTGATTTTATGCAGTAAAAAACGACCTCATTAATCTCCCAGTAAAAAAGTGGGAAACTCTTCGTTTTTTTTTCTCCAAAAAAATCTGGAAAATTTTTAAAGTATCTCTCATAAAAAAATGAATGGTCATAGTAAAATTAGCGTTAAACTCTTTCCCTCTAACGATTGACTTTCAGCCTTCAAAGTTGAACTCAAAGTGTCTAGTGTCATCCAAAAATAAAAATAGTAGTCCCTGCAGCAAAAAAAAACATCATTAAACCTTCAAACATATTCCGAAAATCATCTCTCCCAGATTATTGATGTTGAGCTCAAAAAACGTCTATCCACCCAAAAATCCAAAAATGTATATAAAAAAAGATATCACCCCTGTACGTATAAAAAATCCCGAAGAATAAAAATCGTTTTCTCCAACAATTGCACTTCAAACTCCGAAGTGTCTAGTGTCTTCCAAAAATAAAAATACTGAGCTACAGTAATAAAAATCCCATTAACAAATTCTCTGCAAAAAAAGCTTTTTTTCAAAAGGAGATAACCAGTAATTAAAGAATAATTAAATAACTAAATGGCAATGAAGAAACCTAATAACAATGAATAAATGTCCTTCGATGCGAAAAATGTAAAGGAACTAGGCAAAATAATATTAAGGAATTAATTGGAATTAATGAAGTGTGTCCTAAAAATAGTGAATTAATAATTAGTTAGTTTATTAGTGTGAGGAAAAATAGAGAGGCGAAAGGTCTTCCAAAAATATGAATGTTGAGGGCGTAATCTATGAAAATAGAATATGAAAATGTACTCACGTCAGATCGACTTTTTAGGGTACTTCTTTTGGGACGTAATAAGACATCTTTGAAGTCTAGTTTAATGTCATTGATGATATTCGGCATCGTGTCGAGGCTGATGATGACAGGATGACGTACACCTAGTGGTCGTTGGGCTGTGGCAGACTGAATTTCTCAGCTGTAAATCGTCGATTCCAACTTGCACTTGTAATTTTTCATCGAGTGGGGGGACAGCTCTGATGTGACAGATCCCTTTCACGAATTTTCGACTGTCGATAAGTCGTGAGCCGATAGGAATCGCTTGTGTCAGCTCCAGGGTAATTTTTACTCGAGTGCAGTAAATAAACATTGGAGAGATTTTTGGATGATCTCGAAGGTTTTCACATTATTGGAGAGTTTTTTCAACGGGAACTATGAGTAACATTTACATCCAGGAGCCCCCCACCACTGGGAAGGTAATTGAACATTTTTTTTTTCAATTTTTTCAGGGGTTTTCGAGGTTTTGAGCGCGATTTTGAAAATTATAACCTATAGGTCGACAGTGAGATTCTATGGAGAATATCTCTGGAGATAATCATTAGATTTTCATGATTTCATTTCATTTTTTAGAGCATGAAAAGGGGATTCTGAGGAGACTTTATTTTTAAAAATTCACTCTGCCGATCGGGAGTTATTCGGAATTGAAAATCGATGTTCTGAGTGAATTTTTTGGGGAGTTGAGATTTAGGTTTGGATGTAATTGCGCTTATCTCGATACAGGGAGGATTTTTGGAGAAAATTTTAAGACATTTTTTGTGGGGAATTCAATTTCGGAGGTAAAATTTTATTTCACTTTTTCAAGTAGAACTACGGATTTTGGAGATATTTGCGTTTTTAGAGGGACGTTGATACTTGAGTTTTTCTGAAAAGAAGCAATCGTTTTTTTTTGACTTTCCTTTTGTAGAGTGGTCATTACTTTTTATGCAAAAGTGATTAATGATCAGGGTTATTTCAGGTACTGATGAAGACATCAGTAGGAGATCTGGACCTGGAGCTGTGGACGAAAGAAGCCCCCAAAGCCTGCAGAAACTTCATTCAATTGTGTATGGAGGGGTACTACAACAATACAATTTTTCACAGGCTCGTAAAGGGGTTTATAGTTCAAGGAGGAGATCCTACTGGAACTGGAGAGGGTGGAGAGAGCATCTACGGACATCCCTTCAAGGTAACTACTCTATAATTACTCTTCTTAGCCCCATAAAAAACTAAATCGATCACATAATTCCAATTATTTCGATTTCTAATTCTATTCAAATTTTATCATAGCAACCTAAAAATTACTGAAGAATTTTTGAATTCATTTTTTATTTTTAGGATGAGTTCCACACGAGATTGCGGTTCTGTCGTCGTGGCCTCCTGGCGATGGCGAATGCAGGAAAGGACGACAACAGCTCTCAATTCTTCTTCACATTTTCAGCAACTCCAGAGCTACAGAACAAGCACACAATTTTTGGAAAAGTGGCTGGTGAAACAATCTACAACATGCTAAAGCTGGAAGATGCCCTGGTGGACAGCAACGAGAGGCCCCAGTATCCTCAGAAGGTTGTCAAGACTGAAGTTCTGATAAATCCCTTCACGGACATCATCCCCAGGGTTTCCAGTACCGAAGAGTCCTCAAAGGAGAGAAAAAAGAAGTCAGACAAGTCTGGGGTGAAGAATTTCAAGCTACTCTCCTTCGGGGAGGAGGCGGAGGAAGATGAGGAGGAGTCTGTCGTCCTCAGCAAGAAACTCAGTGGCAAGGGAAAATCAGCCCACGACAATTCGACTGATCCCAAGCTCAGCAGTCTCCCAGCTGTTGAATCCTCTGGCCCTCCCAGCAAAAAGAAAAAGGAAGACAGAAGCAGTGACTGGGAAAGCGATGGCGAACCCCAGACTGAGGAGGACAGGGCCAGGAGTAAAAAAGAATCGGCAGAGATGAAGAAGCGAATTCTCGATAAATTGAAAGAGAAGAAGTCGCAGTCTTCGTCGTCGGTGAAAAAATTGGAACCGAAATATTCCGAAACATCGGAGCACTCGGACGACGAATACTACCTGGGGAAGGATCATCGAGACGAGAGGAAGAGGAAGGCCGACGAAATTCGTCGAGAGATAAAGGAATTCAAACGTGGAATTCACAGTGAGAAGAAGGCAAAGGAGGAGGACGACAGAAAACAGAAGGAACAGCTCTCGAAAAAAGTGGAAAGGAGTAAAATCCTGGAGGACTACCTACCAGATCAACAGAAGTATAAAGATGCCAAAGCCAAGCTGCCAAAGAAAGGTGAAGAATCATGGAATTTCATTCATTTAGAAATTTTTTATTAGATCTTATTCTGTTCCACAAATAATGTCAATGAAAAATTTTCCTATCTCTCTCAGATTCAGAGATATTATAATCTATCTCTTCACTACTGAATTTAGTAAAGAATAATTATTATAATAGATAATTAATGAATAATGATGGTTAGTAGTAATCATTATTATTCAAATAATCAGTTAAACGGGTGTTAAATTGAATAAGTATTGAACAAGCTATTAAATTGAATTAAAATTCCTGGAAAATAGAATTTTGACGAGAGAATTACTTTTCTCGTAAAATGAATAATTATTTTTTTTTATTCAGGAACTGATCGGGACAAGTTCGCCCTGGAGCTCCTCAATAAATTTAAGACAAAACTCCACTCGAAGAAGCTCGAGTCCCAGACTAGAGAAGGCTCCCCTGGTGAACCAGATGATGACTTAACAGACGATTCCTGGATGATGCACACTCTCCACTGCGAGGAGAAAAATCCAGTGCTGGCCAAAGATGCGAGCACAAAAGCTGACGACTGGTTCGAGATCTACGACCCACGGAATCCCATCAACAAGCGTCGACGAGGTGAATCCTCATCCTCGAAGAGTGACAACAGGAGAGAAAGATCTCATCGAAGATAATCCCTTGAATGTCATTATTTTTAGGAGCACATTCTGTTGGTTACGGAGTTGTCATGGAAATTCTCATTGAATTTCCTAACGTCTCCTGATGCTTAAAAATTCCAGAGAATTCCGGAAAATACTACATTAAAAAATGATTAATTAATAGTGTGATAAACAAATTTTCTAGGTTTATTAAGTATTAATTGATTGGAAAACAATCGATTTTAGGGCGAAATATCACGAGAACTTTTTTGAAGAAAATTTCAGCTGCTATAAAAAAGTCCTTCGCCATTTTTATAAATCCAAAGCCTTCGAGATAAACGAATAATTACAATTTTTTTTAAAACATACATAAGTGAAAAAAATCAATTCTCTAAGTGAATTCAATTAAAAATATGAAAATCCCAGAGAAAAATAATTTTTAAGAAATAAAATGCTCTACGTGACTTCAGAATTGAACATTTGGTGTGGAGTTGAAAGAATATCGAAAAATCGCGAAATGTGAATGATTTTGCGAGTGTTTCTACGATATTTCGACATATGACAAGAGCATAGAATATTCCAAACCATTTCGCCTCTTCCCCAGGAGATAAAAAACACTTGAGACGTATAAAGACCCCGATAAGGCATCGAGCTTAAGCTGTCAATAATGATGACGAGTAAGACACTAGGTACATATGTAAACTCTTTGTCGACTCGTCATTATTTCCACAATCAGTCTGCACGTTGACACCGTGCGATGCGCATAATTTATTTTTACTATCGCCTCAGTGCCCCCCACTCCATTGCAAACGAATTTATTTATATAAAACAATCCCCAATGTTATAGAGAAAGGAGAACTTGCCAGAGGAGGAAAAATTCTACTTCTCAATTGTAATTATGGTGATTGAGTTCTTCATAATTAATTAATGATTGATATGAATAATTTATAAACACGTGTTGACTTATGTTTTGTAAATAAGAAACTAAAGGAAATCCAGAGAGAAAAATCAGTCTATCTGGTTTACTCTGGGAGAATAATTGTTTTCAAGTGAATTTATGGAATCTCTGGTGTTCCATTTGGTGAATTATTGTTAAGTTCTGATAATTATTGTGTTAATTACTCTGGAGGGGAGGGAGAGGATGGCGACGACTCCACTGACGATGGAAATCATGGGTAATTAATGTTCCAGTGATTTTTTTTAATTAAAGGAGATTTATTTAGTTTAATTTGTTTAAGAGATCAATTTGTAATTGAAATATTAATTTTTTTGTTTTAAAAATCTTGCTGAATTCGAAGATTAAAATCCGTTTTAGAGATGAAAAGAAATGAAAATTTTCCAACACTTGTTATTCTTCGCTTTATCTGATTTCTCTGTCATTCATGATTTTATTGCAGACTGGAATGTTCAGAAGATTAAATTTTTGGCTCTTGAGGAATTTTTTTATCGGGTAATTAGGGGTAGAGGATTTTTTTTATGAGAAAGACATGAATTAAAATGTTGTGAACAGAATATTTTGGAGGAATTATTTCAGGGATTTATGCATTTTGGCTCACGATGACAGCGCGTGGGTGCGTATGGCTCACTACGTGACAATTGTTTTTGCAATGAGAGAGAGAGAAGAATTTCTTCAGGAATTTCTTTCCATTTCTTCATACGTTTTGGCTTTTATTTTTCGAGAAATACTGCAGAGGAAAGGAATGAAAGACACTGGCAATTTTAGAGCATGAAATTATCGATATATATCGAAAACTATGGATGCAAGAGAAAAATCTTAAAGAACTTTTTCGTAGCTAATGAAATACCCAACAAAAAATATCTTTTCACATTTTTTCCTAAAATCAATAGTTTTTAAGATTAATCAATATTTCATGAACTGATAAACTGAAATAAGTCTGATCTATGATTTTGACGAATTGCCGATTGATCTCGAAAACTATCGACCTAGGTGAAAAACACGAAAAGACTTTTTTGTAGCTGATTAAATTTCCGACAAAAAATGTTTTATGTCATTTTCTCGTAAAACCACCAGGTCTTGAGTTTAAGTACCGAATAATCTCACTGGTCCAGTGTAAATAGTAAAAATTGTCTTCAACTCTCGAATAAAAATATTTTGATGTAAAACTGTAAATTATGATTTCGCTCGACCCTCTAAGTCAGATAAGACATTGGATTATAATAATTGACCGAGAGGAGCATCGGAGTGATAAGATAAATTCTGCCCCGTGGCTACGAGATAACTCGTAATTACTGGAGAAGAAAGTCTTTAGGACGAAAAATCAAATTTTCGTATCTGCATTGACCGAGATTTTTTATTGAACAATTGACTGGATATTTAAATCATCTTCCTGAACTCTTATCTGTTATTCTCGCTAATTTATTCGATGGAATTTTCCGGTGTTTGGTGTGTCGTCTTGTCAGAGCACTGTCTGCAAACTCGTTTAGCTAGGTGAATTTATTTCGATTCATCATACTGATAATTTTTGTTACGCAAATTTATTCCGCAGCTGTCAGTATCAAATCATCACATATTACTTTACGATTCATTTATTGTTAATTCCCTAGTCTCTCAAAAAAAATTTCTCTTCCATTTTGCTGAGTATCGAACAAATGCCTCCAATTAATAATATTAGTATAATTTATTGAATTCGGTCCCTGGGTCAATTCCATTATATTAATATTATTGTAATTACACTTAATTAGTGTTAGTAGTCTAGAAGAATTTAATTATTTAGTTTTTCCTGATTAGTTTTATTGATTCGTAACTGCAATTTTTTTCTTAGCAATTAGAAATAGGAAAATTTTAATTTAAATTAAGGTTTCGGTTTTTTAAGATAATGTTTATATCAAATTTAAATTCATGGCGATTCAATAAAAAAAAGGGGACTCAAACCATAGTTTTGATTTTTAAAGATAATTTTCCATGAAATTTGAAATTTTTGAGGATTAATCATAAAAACTGGAAAATGAAATGAAAGTTAATTTTCTGAGTGAATCATTTGGTTGAATTTGAATCATTGAGGATTGATGAGAAAATGAAGAATAAATATAAATTTTGAAGATGATGGACGCCGTCCCATAGACTGGGCTCCGAGGAAACTGGAGTGTTCGGGTCCCCTGCGTCTAGCTCGTCTCTGCATCCTGGGGATGCTGCTCCCTGCAATTTTAGTTGCAGGCCCTGTTTACCTGCGATACAAAGTATATTCAGAACAATTGTATCCCCTCGCAGCCACCGATCAGCGGCTCATCGACGGCAAAATCTCCACCACGTGGTGCCAGGTGAAACCAATCCCCAAAATCCCAACTCCAATCACCACAAAAATATCTGAATATCTCCGAATCCAATAGACCTATCAAAATTTTCATAATAACCTTTTCTATAGAGCAGAATGAGACCTACAAAAAAGGTCCCACAAAAATTTCGCTATCTCTTCAGCTTCCCGAAATATTCCCCAAAAACTGATCCATCAACTGAATCTGCAAAACAAACTGAAATGAAATAAAATGAAATAAATTGTAATAAAATCCCTAAAATCTAAATAAATTGCTGTTAATTGTTCGTAATGATGATTAATCATTAGACTATAATAAATGCTAATATTTTATAGACGATGTTATTATTAAAAAAAAACTAATGGACTGGTAGAGATAGTCTCCATATAATCAGTACAACTAAATCGCTGATAATTCTGATAACACCTCAATTACCCCTGCAATAAACATTCCGACAATCGAATACTGATATCCATTTTTAATCTTCAGCGACAAGTCGTTAAAGTAAACACGACATTCAATGCTTACTTGATTAATGGAGATCCACAAATGAAAGTAGAGACAACACCGGTGTCCATGACGAGACATTTGGTACTTGAAGATGATATGAAAGAATATTGGGGATTTTACCTCCTCAAGGGGAGTAGTGTCACCGTATCCACCTGTGTCAGGTAATTATTAATTAATTACCGGCTAATTAATCATCAGCAATCAATTAAATTTGTAATAACCACTTTTCTTCCGATTTAATTCCTCAAAAAGTTATTCATTTACCTGTAATTATCATATCGATAACTGGGATAATCATTAATTAATAATAACATAATTATTTATTTATTCCTCTATTAATTATTAATCAATTCAGTGGATGAATTCAGTGTGTATCACGTAATTAATCCCAATTATTTATTGTTGAGGGGAGTAATTGTTGTTCTGTTAAGATTCAGTTAATTTTAAATTCTTGAATAATAATGAGAATTTTTATTCATAAATTTTCTGTACAGTTTTTGTTGTTTCTGTATTTTTGAAAAATGCGTTTTGTGGTATTAAATGTTGTGGATGGAGGATGGGAAATGAAATGTTTATCTTTATTGGTGATTTATTTAGATGGCCAGGTGCATCGTTGACGATAATCCGAGGTCATAAACACTTGCACGAGTGTGCATTTATTGGTGATGACAGCAGCGAGGAATTAGAGGAGCTTTTGGAAATAGCGGAGGAACAGGGGCTCCTCAATGGCACTGGATATCCCCTTAATCAAAAGGTGCATTATTCTCAGAGTTCGTGGGATTCCACTATTTATAAACATTTTTTATCGCTGAAATTCACTGCTATTCAACTCTAACAACTGCTAGTGTGAAATTGTTAACTAGGATTAGTCCTGTTTTTTTATCAACACCGGATTTTCGCAAATATCTCGGAACCGGAGCGATATACTCAGATTTTCATTAGGACCTTTTTCGTAGCTTTCTTTTTTCGCTAGAAAAAATGTTTATACCAAAATATCGCTAATTTTCCGCAATCCTGAGATATTGAGTGAAAACTCCGATTATCGTATTTATCACTTTACCATTGAGTTCATTCCCACAATTTGAGAATTCAAATTAAAAATTTAATTCGTTAAAAACATCTGTGAATATTCAATAATTAATGTTTTATTAATGTCAGCTAATTAATTATTTTTTTAATTGACTGTTTACATTGATCATTTATTTTTATTTATTTATCAATAATAACATAGAATTGTTCTTACTTATTATTATTATCACTTGGAAGTTTGAACATCTGCTCAAGGGATTGAGGAGTTTTCGCTGCGATTTCTGGTCCAACAGATTGTTATTTGAAGCTGATAACATTCCGAGATTAGAATTCTTAATTAATTCGGAATTCTGACGATTTCTGTTGTTGATGACGAGAGGAGATAGACATGAGCAATGTTGCGTCACTTTTTTCTTGTTTGCGTTATGTCAATTGTCTTGAATCTGATGTGATATTGTCTCGCGCAATCAGTGAAACAAGTTCATTATTCCATTGAACCATTAAAGAAAATTCCTCAAGATAAGGAGATAGCGGAGTTTTCCGCGGGTTAAAACGAATCAACTTCTAAACTTCTCTCATTATCTGTTGAAATCCCCCAATTTTTCCCTTTGCTATTTTAATTTGATTTATTGATATTAAAAACTAATTAATCAATTAAATAATTGCACTTGAGAAAGAAAATTAAGCATTAACTTTTAGTTAACAGTAAAACAAGAAAAACGAATATTTATAAATAAATAATTAACTGAATTTATTAAATTCTGGCAACAGTGGCTTTATAATTAAATATCTAAAAAATAATAAAAAATTACGGTGAAATGAAACAAATAAATAAATTCAATCAATTATCAAACCAGGAAAATGAATTACGTCCATTAGTGAGGATTGACTAATTGAATTAATGAATTTTTTTAATTGATCTGAATTCGAGAAGAAAAATGAAAAGATTTATGAATATGAAAGATAATGAATTGTAAATAAATTTATTTGGATTGAATGAAAATTTTTCAGACCGATGGACCGAGTAATGAGCCGGATAAGATGAAAAAAGCCGACCAGGACGTGCAATTCCACCACAAGGGAAATGCCCCCCATTCCAATGGAACTCTTCCCCGTTTGATGTCAGGGCACCACTACACGAGTCACGAGCTAGGGGCCAAGGAGATGCGCCATATCCTGACGAACCTCTTCGCCAAGACTCTAGTAGCTAAGAACAAGCAGAAGGAAAATCCCCATCACCACTACGAGGGAGTCTACAGAGAGGACGACAACATCGAGAAACCGCCACCAGCTCATCCCGATGAATTTCTGTGGGACCTGGAGACCGTGGAAAAATTATTCCCCCGAAAAACAGCAACAACATCAGCACCGACAACCACGGAGTCATCAACAGAAACGATGACATCTCCAGAGAGTCTCCAGGTGGGGGAGACAATTAAAGGACCTGGGGCCCCGAGGACAGCGTCTTCTGAGGTCCTTGAAGATGTCCTCAAGCGAATTGATGCTCTTGGGGATCGAGGGAAACGAGTCCTGGAGCAGTTGTCGCTGAACCTCAGGGAACGCCAGATGAATGAGAATAAAGGGAATGAACCGAACAAAATAATTGAGACTAAAAGAGAAAAGAGACAGTTGGTGCTGTCGTCGGCTTCATTAGTGGACGAATTAACGAGACATGATGCAGAGGAAGATCTTGCTGTCGAGAAGGTAACACTTAGTTTTTTTTTTACGAAGAATGGAAGAATTCTTGATTTCAGGAGTTATACAATATCTTCTCGTTTTTCATGTTTTTTAAATAAATTCCTGGAAAACACTAGATCAAATTAACATTGTAAAATATACCTTCAGGTTTTATTATTTATTTATTCATTTGTTTTGTTACTTTTATTTATTTTATTGATTTTATCGATAGTTTATTGAAAATCTAATTTCGTAAAACATTAAATCTCGTATTAAATAATAATAAAATTTTAAGCCGGCATTAATTAATTAAAAAGCATTTATTTAACGCAAAATTCCAGTTTTACAATAAAAATTATTTTCATATTACGTAATTTTGATTGAGATTTTCCGGTGAAAATTCTGTCGGTTAATTTTACTATAAATTATTATTCTTGTGAGTATCATCTCACCGATCGTTAGATCCGGTTCATCGATTCCAGGAGGACCTGCATCCTGATGGTATTGCAGAGGACAGGGGAACCGTTAACGAGTCCACGTTGAATGACAGGAGTAAATCCGAATTCTGGAGTTCCTTCAGCAGCTCTGAGGAACGGCTTATGGAGTGCAAGGGATTGATTCTCAATTTGCCATTGACTCCTCATCATCAGTGCACACCGAAATATGAGAAGGAGCACGTGAAGGCAGCTATTGCTAATACAGTCACTTATCGGTAATTATTCCCGTAATATTAAATTAATGAATTAATCAATGAATTTACCAATGAATTAGTAAATTAATTATTCAATGAATTAATGAATGGATTGATGAATTAATCAATGAATTAATGAATCGATTGATGAATTAATCAATTAATTAATTAATAATACTGAAACCATAAAATAATTGAAACAATTAGGGATTTTTATATTATGAAATTAAAAATTTCGTTAACTCTTCATCCAAAATGTTTAAAATAAAAAAATGTCAATTAATCTTGTTGTGATAACCATGAAAATTATGGTAATTACTATCCTAATCTAGTCATTGATGAATTCCTCAGAGTTCCAGTGGACGGTTACTACTTCTTCGTCTTCAACTCTGAGAACGAACTCCAGGCGAATTACGTCCGGGTAAAATTCGATCTTGTGAAGACATATTACAACACATCGAATCCAGTTGCTGCCTGTCAAAATACAACCCACGAGTGTTCACTTCCCTTCAACTTCTTCAGTTGGGAACGAACAGTCCTGGAACTCCCCTTCAGTGGTAACGACTCCCAGTGGAACGAAGAGTACATTGTGGTCTCACAGTGCGAACCCCGAACTGCTATTTACCTCCTCTGCATGATTACAGTTCCACTTCTGATTCTCCTATTCGCTTTTCAGTGATTCCAATAATATTTCATCTAAAAAATCAGCTCTAATTGCAGTGAGAAATCATTACTTCGGTCGAATGGATTCAAGTACAAGAAAATACTTGAATCAAGTACATTTTATACTTGATTGAAGTACATTATTAGCGTTATTTTAATTATACTCCATTTTCGATGAAGTTCAATGGAAAATTAATTTTCTCACGTTTCTAATAACAATTACGAATTTTCTAGAATCAAATATAAAGTATACTTGATTCAAGTATTTATTTATTTTCGTGAGTCTTTCAAATGTTCAAGTGGTAGAAGAGAATTTGGCTGGCAGGCGTAATAGCTTTTTGGTTTTTGAATTTATTAAGGAACTTTTCAGCAAGTGTTTTATTTCAGTTTTTTCTTCAGTTTTTTTCCATTACTCTTTTTTTAGTCACAGCTTTTTTTTAGTTATTTTTCCATGAAAGTGAAGTTAATTGGCTAGTGATGAACAGTATTTTACGGTGAATAATTAGTGCTTCATATAATTGTATCTACACATGTGCCTGAAACAATTAGAATTACTATAACGATTACCTCATTAATTAAGGAATTAATGCCATTTGTTACTTGTGATTGAAATTATTTTATAAGAAATCTAATATAAATGAGGAAATAAAAATTAATTATTAACATTTCGCATATTAATTAAATATTGCAAAAAATCATCAGATAAAATTTACAACTTTCCCACTTTCTCCGCTTCCTGGAATTTCAAAAAATCAATTTCTCCGAATTATTAATAATTTATCATGACAAATCAAAAATCCGATAAGTTTTTTCGCCCAAATAAATTGAATTAATTAAATAATTAATAATAATTAATTACGTCTTCAATAAAAATCCCCCAATCCTCCGCAAAAAACTTCACGCCCTTCAATCAAACTTTGTAATTACCCTCCCCCTAAAAAAATCCCAGCGTAACGAGATCTAATTAACCCCGAGTCCCTGATTAGTCGTTCTTTTAATCCCCAGAGTAATTATTATTTTTCTCACCGTCACTGGGTGTCCGATTGTAATAAACTCCTGTCGACTTGACCCGATAACCAATTCACAGGGGAACAGCCCCCAACTGGGGGTAGTGGGCGTGGCATCCCTTATCAGCGACGAACACTCGCATCCCACCCCTTAAAGTAACCGACAATTATTCTCCACATTATCATCGACACTGCCACTGTTTTTATTTTATTAAATCAAGTATAAAATGCCTTAATTCAAGTATTTGATTTTTTTATCGCGGTGGCTATTGGGGGGGAAGGGGGAGGGGCCATTGATTCTATTAATGTGATATTATTGGTACGTGTGGCTGGCGCGTGGAGATAAGGAAATTGATTTCACCCTCGGGTGACTGTCGTCACTAGGGGTTGCTACACTCTAAGATATATCTCTTCTCGGCTTTTTCAAAACCTGCAAACATTTTTTTTTTTTCGATAATTCTGGAATTTGTTTATTTGAAAAATTATCGTAAATTGGATTTTACCACAAGAATACAAATTTTACGTGAGTTTGTGGTTCTTTAATAATAAAAACGGATTCTATTATTTATTGAAAGTTATTTTCTTTGTTCATTTTATAAATAATTTTTGATTCGTGGATCTCATGAGAACGCTAAACTAATTAATAACAATCATGCAGAAAAATAATCAACAATAATTGCAGTAATTTATTTATAAAGGTGAAGACACGAGTAAAAAGAAATAAAAAAACGGTTGTGCCATAAAAATTATTTAAAGTCAATTTGTTTATGAAAATTCTGGTGAAAATCATTTATTTACACTTTTTTATGTAAAAATTTTTTCATTCAAAAAAATCTTTCAAAATTCCCAGCAATTGTGCAGCAATTTTTATAGAAAAAAAACCCCTGCCTTTTTTTCGAAAAAATATCTCTTTAAGGCCCGGGTACATCCGAAAAATATTATTCCTATAAGAGATTATACTAGTTTATCGTGACATTTTTTTTATTATTTAAGACCCATGTGGACTATCTATCGAACTATCTGTCATCTTTTGTTTAAATTTTATCTTTTTAGCATAAAATACATTAAAATTTGGGATCAAATTTGTGTTGCGGGAGCTACTCGAATGGTTATAAAAAAATAATGAAAAAAAAGAGGAAAAATTATTGAAGGGCGCTAAAGAGCGATATTGTTTAAAAGGGATCTACCAAGTTTACAAAAAAATAATAAAAATTACGCAGCTTACCGTTGCTCTCCAGAAGACTGAGTGACAGCTAGATGCAACAGTAAGCTACCTATTTTTTATTATTTTTTAGCAAACATGGTAAATCCCTTTTAAACAATATCGATCTTTAGCGCCCTTCAATAATTTTTCCTCTTTTTTTTCATTATTTTTTCATGTCCAATCAAGTGCTTCCCACAACCCAAAATTCATCCCAAATTTTCTATCCTAAATTTATTTTAGCTTAAACAGATAAAATTTAAACAAAAGTCGACAGATAGTTCGATAGATAGTCCACATGGGTCTTAAATAATAAAAAAAATGTCACGATAAACTAGTATAATCTCTTATAGGAATAATATTTTTCAGATGTATTAATCCCAAAATGAAATTCATTGTCACGAGTTATGTGGGAACCCATTGCCCCCCAAAAAACCGCAAGAGGGGCGTTTTTTTTTTACCCACAGTTTTTTTCTCGCCTCGACTTTATTACCAGTTCCCGAATTTCAAAATGCCGTCGATATTATGTGATATTAATATAGATTGATATTACGACCCCCGAGTGAGAGAATAATGGCAACACGCGTTCACACAAACGACCCCAGGGAATTTGCGGACAAAGGGGTTCTATTTGAACTCTATTAGATGGAGTACTCGTAAAATTTGTTGCTTTTCTTATCGTAAGAATTTTTTTTCTTATCAGAGGAATTCGGCAGTGGGTGGAGCCGAATTTTTATCGGGGGACAACATGTGCTCTCGATTACGCGCACGTGAGACTTAACCACTTCCTGAAAAATACATCTTAAAATAATAATAAATCTTAGAACATAAATAATTTTTGATTCAACAAATAATTTGATTTTACATCAATTAATGTATGAAATAAAGGACATCATTTATTTTCATTAATTTCGCATTTTAAATAAAGTGTAGACTCATTTCATTAATTTATTTATTTAGTCGTTTAATTCCTCTAATAACGACAACAAATAATTTGATTTTACATCACTGAACGTATGAAATAAAAAACATAATTTATTTCAATTTATTTCAATTTATTAATTTCGTATTTTAAATGAACTTCAGACTAATTTCATTAATTTATTTATTTAGTCGTTTAATTCCTCTAATAACGACACCAAATAATTTGATTTTACATTAATTAACGTATGAAATAAAAACATAATTTATTTCAATTTATTTCGATTAATTTCCTATTTTAAATGAACTTCAGACTAATTTCATTAATTTATTTATTTAGTCGTTTAATTTCTCTAATAACGACAACAAATAATTTGATTTTACATCAATGAACGTATGAAATAAGAACATAATTTATTTCAATTTATTTCAATTAATTTCGCATTTTAAATGAACTTCAGACTAATTTCATTAATTTATTTATTTAGTCGTTTAATTCCTCTACTAACGACACTAAATAATTTGATTTTACATCAATTAACGTAGGAAATAAGGAACATAATTTATTTCAATGAATTTCGCATTTTAATTGAAGTGCAGGCTAATTAATTTCATTAATTTATTTATTTAGTCGTCAAATTCCTCTAATTACAACAACAAATAATTTGATTTTAGATTAATTAAAGTGTGAAAAATAAAGAACGTGCTTGACTCGTATTGGATGGACTCTCCCACGCAGATTGGATGGTAATTGCGCTCGAATGATCTCCATGAATGGCATTATTATTATTATTATTATTATTTAATCCAGGATGACACCCCGATGGAGCCGGTGGAGCCCCTCGGATCTGTCACAATAAGGGGCACGCGACTGGTGGCCACTTGTGGGGATCAAATGAGCTTATTATGATATCTCCATCCCTTTATCTATTTATTTATATATTATTTATATTGAATCAAACTCAATCCCTCATGTATGATATTATATCGTTCATAGGAATGAGTGCATAGGAATAATATAATTAAAAAACGGAGTAAATTTTTTGTTAATTTAAATTCAAGAATTATTTTAATGTTTCAATTATTATGATAATCAAATATAAATAAGGAATTCAATATTTAATAATGTAATATTTATTGTTAAGAAATATTAAATAATACGATTTAAAAAAATCGTATGGATAAGAGAAAAATTCCCGATTGAAGAGAATTATTTATTCTTCATTATTAGATCTTATTATTGTTTATTCTTTGTATTATTATTATTATTGTGATTATTATGATTATTATTGATGAAATCATTTTTTCCGTAATTTCGGGGGGAAATATTTATTAGCCAATATCTTGGAATTGAAGGGGCATACTGATTTTTTTGTGAAAACATTTTTTATAGGAAAAAAAGAGAGCTACAAAAAAGGTATCTATGAAAATATTGTTATCATCCTTCAATTCCACAGAATTTGCTAAAAACTGGCCTCGAAAAAAAAAACATATTCTATAGTTTATTTACCACTTCGCTAGTGATTTGTTAGTGCAGGGGATTGAGAAAAATCGTTGAAGTAGTTTATTGTCACTCTGACACACTCTAAGGGATGCTGCACCGGGATTCGGCAAAATGGGAGTTGCCTAAACTCCACCCACTAAATCTCGCGCCCCGCCCTTCAATCGCCGAATTCGTCTGCCCCGGGGTCATGTGTCCTCGCATTTTCCACCAGTCAAAATTCAACGCTCCTCATCGCCACTCAAACTCATTTTAAAAATATTATTTATTAACAACAAATTAGTCTGACACCAACAGGAAGTGATTTAAAATCGGAATTACTCATTTCGAGTGCTTTATCAATAAATAGTTGATAAATTATGGATTAATTTGACAGAAAGTGGAAATTCTTGAAGATTTGATGGATTGGAAAATTCATCGTTTCGGATCTCCTAGCAATAAATTATTTTTTAATAATTAATTCATTCGGCAAAAAGTGGAAATTCTGCGGAATCTGTGGAGTTATCAATTGAATAGTGAAATTAATCATTCGTTAATTAATAATTGGTCATCTGATAAGTGTTATAAAAAATCAATTTGACAAGCGAAGAAAATTCTCATCAATCTGCAGACATGGTAAATAATGGGTTTATTAATTAAGTTAATAGTGCAATTGGTAGTTATTTAATAATTCGGAATTCTTTATTTCTCTTGTTATTTTTCATTTTTTATGTTAATTCTTGATTATAAAGTTCTTAAATCATAAAGTGTGACCTTTTCAAAGTTTCCGATTGAGAAATTTCACTATCAAAAGGCTGTAAGTATCAGAAATATTTTAAATTAATTAAATTCCATACTTTCGTTGAAATTCACGTAAAATGAACTTTTTTTCCGGCAGTTTTTTGCAAATATCTTGAAACTGAAGGCAGATAGCGACATTTTCATTCATTACTTTTTTGTAGCTCTAATTTTTTTCTACAAAAAATGTTATTATAAAATATCGCTATCTCCTGCCGATTTTAAGGTATTTCGTAAAATCCAATAAAATTCAACATCGAACAATGCTGCGGATTTATTGTGATTGAATTTTTCTCGTAATTAGCGACCTGAATGGCTTTATCCTTCTATAATAATTAGTAATATCTCTAATAATTAATAATATCTCAACTTATGGTAAACAAAGGGAAGATATTGTCCCGTGGGCGTTGAATATCGTCCGAGTGAAGTTCACGGACGGTGCAACTTTAATTGGCCGCTGATACGCGTTTCCTCAATTAATTACTGAAGTCCGATTGCGATGAAAAAAATAGCTCTATGCGAACTAGATTAATGAATCTAGGAAATGGTTAATTGTTGCAGCCGATGTTGACGTACAATGGGAATCATGGGCTAGCGGATGAGGAGAGATCTCCAGCTGCATCAGTTGTCTCCAACGATGGGGAGATGATCGAGGACTCTGGAGATTCTCCAGAGACACCTAGAGACACCGAGGAGGAGACTATGTTCTCGGATGAATTTTATTCACACGATACCGACGACGAAGACGACCAGAAGAGGACTAGAGACACCGGAGTTATTGTGCGTTGAGTTATCCAAGTGCAAGTGAAATTATAAATAATTCAACTTTCCCGAGGGATATCTCGGAATCCGAGCAGAATAACGTCTTTTTCGTAATAACCTTTTTCGTAGATCTCATTCTATTCTTCAAAAAAGGTCGTATAAACAATTTTGGTATCTCCTCTAGGTCCTGAGATATTCCTCGAAAACTAGAGTAGGCAGCAAGTCTACACTTGCACTTGTTATGCAAAGTTTTCTACTGCCGTTTTCGAGAATTATTTCTAAATCTAAGACAATTAACGCGATTTTTGTAATAACCTTTTTTACAGCTCTGAATTGGGGCTATGAAATAGGTCCTAATGAAGATTTCGTTATCGCCCTTAGTTTTCGAGTTATTTTTGAAAAACTCGGGCAAGTGTGAAGTCAACTTCTGACTTTTCACTAGTTCACCACAAAATTCCATCATTTTACGGCGCGATCGTCTTGTAAATATTTAATTAACATAAACTTTTCAGACATTGAATCTTATGTATTCCATAAATTAATCAAATTTCTAATTTTCCTTTATGCAAATAAATCAATTACAAATGATTCTCAACACTTAGATCGATGGAATGAAATCGATGAACAACAACATATCGATCTCGAGCTCCACAAGCTCGACTTTTAATGGAACAACAACAACTAATCCAGGGAACACCGAAATCGGTGGAGATGGTGTTCGAAAGATGTTCACGAACAGCAGGGAACGGTGGAGGCAGCAGAATGTCAGTGGAGCTTTTGCTGAGTTGCGGAAATTAGTGCCCACTCATCCACCAGAGAAGAAATTGTCGAAGAACGAGATCTTGAGAATGGCAATCAAGTGAGTTTTATATTCTAAATGGAACCATTCCCGACAAATACATCCTCAAATCATCAAATGCCAATTAATCCCCTGACAACTAATTCTGATCGATCAATTAATTTACAAAA